ATGCCCCAATTGCCTTAAGACAGAATTCCACTTACAGCTAGTTCAGGATTTATAATCAGATTTTCTGATACCTTTAATCTTTTAATAAATATGTGGTTAAATAATAAATGATTTATTCTTATATCCATATTTTTTTAATTAAATACATGGTGGGTGCATAAATTGCCTATAGTTCCTTCATATGCATTCTATTACTTAGTTAAATACAATCAATATAAATTTAATTAATGACAATTGCTGAATAAAATTTAAATTTTTGATGAATATAACACTATGCGCTACAACTTACTGGCTTCTTTTTTTCTAGCCTTACTCTAATTCCCCCAAAAGGAATTTTAAACAAATTGCCAATAGATTTTTTTTAGTTTTCTAAATATAAGCTTATTCAAAACAGTATAATCACAAAAATAATATAAAAAGCGTTATTTATAAATATATTATTATTTATGATCACAAAAATATAAAGATAAAATTCATAAAATGTAAATATAATATTAAGTTTTAAATCATGGAAAAAAATAATTTTATTAAAATCTTACAGTTGAAGAAACATTCATTTATGGTGTTATTTCTATATTCATGTAGAGTTTATACATTTTTCTGTTTGGCCCAATTAAATTTGCAATTAGCTCTCAATAAATATTTCTAATTTAATTTTTCAGTCAATCATAAACGAAGTATATTCTTTGTTTAGGAAAAATATATGACATAATTTTAATATCTTGCTCTTTTTAGGTTGTATTATATTCGATTGTAAATAAAATCTTTTGAACTATCATTACACGATACAAATACAATGTTAAAACTTTTTTCACATAGTTTTATTAAATATATTTTATGAACAAGAATTGATGACTGATTCAAAAAGAATTAATTTGAATTTTAATTTTATATTTATCAAATAACAAAAATGTTATTGCTCTGTTATAATATTGAATTGATGTTAACGTAGCATTTCTCGTTAGCATGGTAAAACAGTTGTTCTAATATCTTAATTTAATTTTTTTTAAATAATTTTAATTCCAATTAAATTTAATTTTCTTTAAAATAGTTGTTTTAATATGAACCAATCGATCCTGCAGTCAATTATCACCACACCAGTATTATTTATATTTACAATTAGTAAAAAAAATAATCTCGACTTTAACCAGAAATAATGTCTGTCCACGATGTCTTGGAAATTAGCCATTTTAGTTTTCTTCACATTTTTACTGTTATATTGAAGATTTTTGTCGATATTCTTATAAGTCTTCCGTGAATTTAAGAATAATACGTCTTAATAAAATTCTATTACATTTTTTAAACAATATTTAAATATTCGGATCATTATTAATATTTTTGGATTATTGCTAATTTATGTTTTGAAGTATTCAATTACTTTTACTATGCACCTATATTTGTCATTGGATACAGTTACATGATCAGCTTCATGAAAATCTTGTCAGGATTTTAAAAGTTATTATATACTATATTATGCATTTATTAATTGAATGCAACAGATGGTTTATATAGTTTAATCCTTATTTTATCGATGATGTAGAATTTTTATAAATTTATCCAACTAATTGCAACTTTTATGTAATATTAATAATATATCTCAAACAATTAAATTATGAAAATAATTAATACAATTAATAAATAATGATAAAAATGATCAACCGTATATTGAAGATTATTATTAATATTTTCAAAGCAATTTAATTTTATATAAAAATAATCTAAAACAGTATGTTCTTTTAAAGCATTTAAATATAATGTTTTTAAAAACTTTTAAATTCAAATGAAACTTTGGTCAAACCTGTCATTTGTAACATTGTACCACCCTAGGGTAATGATAACAAGCCCAAGTGGTATTGACAAATATCAAATTTATTTATGATTTATTTTTTAGTGAGTAAAAATATCAGCCTGAGATTTGGCTTTTATTTTATCAACTTTTCCATTTCTTCATGGAATTTTTTATTGTCAATAATTAACAGATTTTTTTGTAAAGTGCTCCAAACAAATCGAAAAATATACTAAACATTTCAATTGATGTTTACAAAGAGGTACTTATAAATAATTTGAAGCTAAATACGGGAAATAGACGTGACCATAATTTCTTATACCTATATTTAATAAAAATGATCGTATTTACTTCTTTCTAAATTTGTCTACGCAAATTTATAAGTTATCTTCACAGTTTTATTTCATTTGATTGAATATAATTATATAGCACAGCATATATTCTTTTTTTTGTCAATAATGTTATGAAATTGGTTGGGGGGGATATTTTTTGCCTTACTATTTTCCTCCATAGTTCTTGTCTACCCTTTTCCTGTTATGGCGTGCTCAGCATCCGCCCTAGTCGCTCCACCCAAGCAAATTATTATTTTTATTGAATGAATTTTATTCGTAATTTTTAGTTCATTCTGTACTTACATGCTTAATTTGAAATATACGTTGAAAACTCAAGTTGAACAACAACATCCTATAGTATGTGATTTTGTTTAAGTAGAATATATTAAATATATAATTTGATCAATTAATTATTAAGAGAAATTAGAAATAACTAGAAATTTTCCATTATGCATAATTAGAATGATTAAAATCTTATATTTCATTTAAAAAGTATTCTCCCAATTAAAAATATGGACAAAAGATGTTTTAAATACAATGAATTCATTAAAAATTAATTTCATCCTGTGTGCTTACATTGTTATACTTTGTTACTGAGATTTTTTGAGTAATCTTTTATTTTTGAGACAATAATTCTTTCAAAGTTGGAAAAAGCGAATCGCCAACTCTGAATTTTTTTTGAAGAACTGAATGTGCTAATATTTTGTGTATCATTTTAAATATATTGTTGCAATGCTGTAATTTTATATTTACTACCTTTTTCTTTTTTAAACAGATATTGATACACATTTTTAGTGCGACATTTTATAAAATGAACTATGCAAACTATAATTATGATACAAATGTAACTCAACTTATAAGTAATTTATTTTTATATATTATTTTAGACGAGGAATAACTTTTTTTAATCATTTTTCACACAGTGGATGTAATTTAATAAACTTTTATAAAAGTCTGAAAGTGCCAATCTGTAAAATAGATTTTGGTAAACTGTATGTTTATAACTCACTTTTTAATAAATTTGAAGTTTTGAGTTCATATTGGTTATGAATATATTTAATCTTTTTTTATTATTTTAATTTTGATGCAGTCATTAGTATTTGGTATTAATATGTTTCTAATACTACATTTAAGAATGGTTATTTTAGTTTTTACACTCTTCATTGTGCAACTTAGCTGTTTTATATTCTTCAATATTTCATGTTGTCTATTTGTTTAGTATTTGACATGGATGATTTAAATTAGTACTCAAACTACTAAAAAACTTTAAATACATTTTAACTTCAAATTATAAAAAAACTTTTTATACTGTATTATTTTTTCTGCAGAACAGGACGTTAGAAATTTTTACATTTTTTCTAATGAAAAAATAGATGAATCTTATTTAATTTAGAAATTTCTTTTATGAGAAAGTTTTATATAGAAATACAATTTAATAATTTTAAATGTACCCAGCATTACAAAACCGATACAAATGATAATTTTGTTTCATATTATTTGCGAGTTGCATTAGGAGCTTCTAGTATTTTTAAATCTTTAATTTATTAATAAATCCAAATGATGACTTTTTCTATTAGTCTTATTTTAGAAATTGTTCTGGAGAATGATTGTTTTATTAATACAACGCAATATGTCGGTTATGTTGTTATGAAGAATAATCATATTTGTTTGTGGAACTGAATTTGTTTGAATATATCAAAAAAGAAAAAATCCTACAAAATTTTTTTTTATATTCAAAATGTG